CCATCGAAACTGCTGATGTCGTAAACAAAATTTGTCAACAGCCACTAAGAAGTCATTAAAAGTAAATTTATTGTTTGTTTTAAAAAACAACTGTGCAATATGTGCTTCTCAAGACATTTTTGAATCTGGTTTGTTGTTCATCTCTTCTCAGGCTTCAGTTTGGCAAGGCTAAACGAGAAACACGGTACAGACACACGGTTAGTAAGGACACGTAAGGGAAGCAACAATAACTTGTGTTTGTTATTCTCTCAAAAGCCTAAATGGCATAATCCAAACTACAACAGTAAGCTTTAAAATCTGATCATGTTCATTGTGTTCTGAAAACTCTTATATTCTAAAAAGGGAAAGACAGCAGTGTATCTGATTTCAACCAAACAAGGTTTCAAACTAAATTATCTATTTCCTCTTACAGAACTGAATAAAACAATGCTGCAGGGACCCAGGTAATTGCTTTAAATGTAATTGGAGGATTCAATTTTAATGGTAACACTGCAACATCACTTTTGCTTTAGCTTTCCACAGTGATAGGCTCTCGGCTATCACATACGGACCACGGCCCAGAACAAATCTGAGACGTGCACAATAAGGTCACTTCTAAGAACCCTCCATGTTCGAGGGCATACAATTCTGTATCACTCAAACAATAGCAATTCTAATTTTTCAGGCAAAGCAATATCAAATTGCACTTACCCAGGGCTGGAAATAAGGGAATACATAATTTTAAATGCTTAAGATCTGAGGATATTGTCTTAAATAAAGGATTTTATTATCTTGTTTATTTCAATTTGGAGAATGAAATTAAGGCAAAAACATTTTGCTTAATAATGCTGTTGCTTTCCTTTAAAAAATGAACACATTTACAACATTAAACAACAGGTCTCTCTCCTTCTAAAGTAGAGACTCAGTTCCCTCTTACCCAACAATTTCATGTAATTGCAGAACTCTCAGGAACAGTTATGGGGTTCAATCTGAATAGCCACGCGTCTGAGAACCAAACATCCGCAAAGACGTGGCATTTCAGCCCCTCCCTCTGCTTGCACTCTGCACACAGAGTGGTCACACTAACAAGTCACGGTCACCTGCTCCACGAGCACACACAGGCTTCTCAGCTACAAAGCCATTTTAATTAAGCCAAGAGGGGCTGTTTATGTGCGAAAGAAGAGGCAGCGCGTACAAGGGGAAATTCATGCAAACATGAAGCACTCCACATTTCCTATCTGATTCCGTATAGATTTAAACTTGTGATTTAAAACCTGCATTGAGGCAGCTTTTGCACTTCATATACTTCATAATTTATAAACAGAAGAGGGATTCATGTGACTCAATTTCTTTCCTAGAGCTATTGATCAATAATTAAATCATTTTGTAACTTCTATTCAATATGTGAAATAGAAAACCATGTCATCTGTGGATACCAACGAATGAAAATACCTGCTAAATGTGCCATGATTTCCTCTGGTACGGTTTTAAAACTACGGTCCATCTACTTGGCCCTCAAGAAATTTAACCAAAAATCACAGATAACCTATAAGACTAGAAATTGTGTGTGTGTGTATGTGTGTGTGTGGCAGGGAGATGGTGGGAAGCCTGTGAGCCTGTTTTTGAAGGAAAACATTACTTACTTCTTCAAGCAACTAAAAAGAAAAAACTCATATGCCTGGAAAGCTAGACACTCACTATCTAATGTCCCTTACCCTTAGCCTTTCTGTTATCTGAACCAAAAAACAGAAACAAAACCATAACAACACACACACACAAACACACACACCCCTCTGCTTTGTACTTCAGGCCTGCGTTAGGCAAGCATGCTTGAAATTTCCTTACACATTGTTCTGAGGAATATCTAAGCATGCACACGTTTTGATTACGCTATTTAAAAGCAACGCTGTCAAGGAAGTCACATCTTATTCTCCTTAAAAGAACAAAGAGAAAGGAAGAGACCACTTTTAAAATCTTACTATTTTCCTCTATGTTACTAGAAAAAACAAAATATAAAAGAATCAGCCTGAGACTTTATTAGTCTCAAATAATACGGTAGGTACGGAAGGTAGTTAAAAAATGTTTTGAATAAGCTAAGAATGCTTTAAGAGTCTTCTCAAACACTAAGGACTAATAATGGTGTGAAGGAAAGATTAAGAGCCAATAGTCAATAAAACAAAAACCTTATTTTATGTTTAATAAACTATCCTCATTTCCAAGGAGAATTTGGCAAGCTTCAACCATTTCCCACAGGACTGGAGCAGTAGTTTGTCATCAGACAGAAGACAGCCATGTTCAAGAGAACAAGATATAGCAACTCTGCATAAGATATATTTATGGGGGCTGGCCTGGTGGCACAGTAGTTAAGTGCTCACGTTCTGCTTCGGTGGCCCGGGGTGTGCTAGTTCAGATCCCGGGTGCAGACATGGTACCGCTTGGCAAGCCACGCTGTGGTAGGCGTCCCACATATAAAGTAGAGGAAGATGGGCACAGATGTTAGCTCAGGGCCAGTCTTCCTCAGCAAAAAGAGAAGGATTGGCAGCAGATGTTAGCTCAGGGCTAATCTTCCTCAAAAAAAAAAAAGATATACTTATGTCCTCCGTGTGGTGGTGTGTTGCTTTCCTAGGAGTAAAAGCTCTCTTTTGTGGAATTCATGCACTCCCACGGTGTTAGTGCTCCCCCTACAGCTGATGTCACTGAGGGCAGAGCTGGAAAAACTGCTGTAGCAGGCCAGTGTACAGCGTCAGCATCACGCCAATACCATCAGCGGAAATAACCTCAAAGGCAGAGGTCACAGTAAAATGTAATATAATCATTAGGAAGTGACGAATTTTGAGTATTATTATCTTTGATTTTTATAGGACTTATTTAATTTTTAATAATGACTCTGTTTAACAACCAGTTGGCAAAATTTCTAGAAATTGAACAACTGGCTCTCACAAGTCAACGTGGGCTGACTCTAGCAAACCGTTGATGCCATGTACCCAGAAAAGTGTGGTCATTTGTGATGTTAATAGTTACTCTTAAACACTGGGAGAACAGGAGCTTAGTTTTTAGGAAAAAACCTTCAGCTACTGCACCTAAACATAGAAGTTGATTTTCAAGAATACACAGGCTTTGGAAGTTATAAATGCATCAACTTCTTTATCACAAATCTGGCTTTCACTACAAGTTATAGGTAGTAATCTATAGAATTGGATCTAGAGAAAACATCATAGAGTGTTTTATAGGACTTTCAGCAAAAAGCGGGGTGGGTTGGGCTGCATTTCAAGGTTCCTTTGAAACAATATATATTTCTTCATGCCCCGCCCCCCACTCACCACTCCTCTGGCCTCCAAGAGAATAATTCTACCATAAGCCCTCTCTTCTTCTGGTGTCCCAAGTTCCAGCAAAAACGATTTATAACTAAAATAACGGATAATTTATAAACAAACTAGAAGTTTATTTTCCATTCTATGAGAAGAACAGAAAACTATATCTATCAGATAAATGTTAGCTAATGAACAGAAACTAAGAAGCCCTCAGCTTCAATAAGACTGCATGAGAGCCCCTGGGGGGAGACTGCGCTACAAGGCGGATGCGCAAGGCTCAGAGGAGGCTGCCTCCCATTTCATGTGTTCTAATTTAGAGAAGACCGTTGTACACATTTCTTACATTTTAATTGATGGGCAACAGTCTCATTTCTGTCCATCATGTAGGTGCCGGTTTATGAGCTGTCAGTTTGCATACATGGAATGAAAAGCCCCATGACCAACACAGAAACTGAAATAAAGTGGCAGTTAGAGCAATTTCATCCCATAACTGTCCTTGGACATGGAGCGTGATGAAGAGAGATGATCTGACTGAAAATGCGTTCAAAAGGAGCAGTAGATAAACAAGAAAAACACTAATGCAGAACTATGAAAATCCCAAGGTCCGGAAGCATTGGAGATGGAAATCCAACCATATTTAAATTAAAGCTGATGCTGCTGACAGGCCAGGCTTTGTGTTATCTGGTCCACGCTTACTTCCTCCATGCACTTGACTTTATCAGACATCTACAGAACACATCTGTTATGTTGTATAGCCTGAAGGCTGGGCCATGAGTCCTCGACGTTGAGGCTTGACTTCTCTATAACTCCCTGAGTTATTGAGGTCAACCTCAGGATCATAAATCAAGAAATTCTATGAAAATAAAAACTCTTGTTCACATTTTGCAATTAAAAAAAGTTAAAAGGAAGGGATTCATAATGCGGGATAATAACTTTTGGAAGAGTCAAGTGGCTATGCTGTATGTTTTCCATTTTAAACTATCATCTTGATATGTTTAGGGGTTTAATTTATGGAACAATCAAGCATTCTTCATATTTAACATTAAATACCTGAATATTATAAATCACTTTAGATGAACATTTACGGGAGAGTTTCAGTGCAACTTCTGAACAACTTGTCACTTTTATTGTATAGCAATGATTTGTAAAAAATGATATGCTAAGTAATCCTAGAATATAATTTAGGGACACAAAAACAACTGTCAGGAAACAGCCCGAGACTACGTTTAATGAAATCTTTACAGACTGAAGCAATAAGTATTAAATTAATCAACACAGCTTAATTGAAGCTCTATTTGTAACATTTTTTATTAGACTTGTTATTAATGAACCTTTAAATGCTACCACTAACTTGAGCTCTACGTTAAATTTAAATAATGAACCATTGTTCACACACACAAAAGAACACACACTGCTTTAATGGTCCTTTGTCTCTTTTACCTTCACACCCAGCAGGAGAGACTGCTCCCCCTTCTTTCCACACTTATTTACATAGTTGGCAAGATAGTACCTTTAAGGCTGCTAAAATGGTCTCAAATAACTCACGTAAAATCATGAAGAAAGCAAAAACACAGGAGCTAAGACTGAAAATTAAAAAGAATTTCGGTTGACCTCAAAGATAACGTTTTCAAATCTGTGCTTTGAGTCATTTTTGTTAAGCTGACACTCAGCTGTGCTTAGGGCTGAGGGTTTGGGGTGGTGGCGACTTACCTGAACATGTCTCCCAAACCCTTGAGCATTCCCTTCTTGGCTTTCATTTTCTCCTTCTCCTTCTCTCTCTCTTTCTTCTTCTCTTTTCCAGTTTTATCCTTTCTCCTCTCAGTCTTATCACCTTTCTCTTGGTTTCCATTCATTTGTCTCTCCAGAGAGTGCGAAGGCTGGTCACTCGCTGTGGATACAGACTCTCTCCCTGATCTTGAACTTTCTTCTGTGTCTTCTTCCACTTGGAAGGAAAAAAAAAAAGATAAGAATATAGTGAACCAAAGGAGTAAATAGAAGGAGGCCAAAATATTTGTGAGGATTTTACTCTCTCATATTTTCTACTACGGTAAGGCCCTGCCATCAACATGGATTGCAATATTGCTTACTGTGGAGTAGAATTAGAATGGAACATGTGATGTGGGTGTTTACTATGCACATGTGCATCCCTATGCGAAGATGATGTGCCAGCAGTAAGAGAGAAGCAGCTTCCTGTCTGGATGCTGATTCACTCATGGTAATACCCTCCTTGACACAGAGCAGGCATTGCTGGGGGTCCTCAGACAGCGCAGACCCCTAAGGGGCCTGTGTGCTATATTTGCAAAATGAAAAGAAAACAAGCAGCCCCTTCCCAAGCACCTGCTTTCCACTTGGGTAAGGATAACGTTGGGTCCACCCCGGCCCCTCGTTAATTTGTTAAACTGCATCATTTCACTAGTAAAACACCAATGTCAGCATGAGGACTTCTTTTCTCAGGCTCCCACATAGGTCCATTTGTAATTTCTGCACATAGAAGCCTGGGTCTTCACACCCTCTAACTTTTCCTTATATCGTCATTACATAAGGCCAACATCATAAGCAAATGCTACTGTATGTTCTAATCCAAAATAATTTTGCATGTCCAGCCACACAATGGCAGGTGAAAGAGGTGGATGGAGCCATGAAAATGTGTTAATCAATAAGCTCGCACTCCTCTAAACTCTGCAGATAAAAGGAATACTTGGTAATGACAATATTCTGTCCTTTGAACCAACACCTAGTGAGCATATGGTGCAAGGGAATTTCAATACCCCCAACTTCTTCTTGAAAGAAGGACAAGTAACTAGAGTAAGTTTGCACCTACCGAAAGAATTTTAAGAATTTCTATATTAAGAAAGAAACAAAACATGCATGTATTAATAGCCATTCTCATAAACCTTTTCTGAGATTGGTTGCCTAAGGTTTTCTTCCAAATATCATAAGAATTATTGGGGCTTCGGGTTACCCCTTGAATTCTAAGGTTATTTTTTTTTTCTGCGTCAACAAATAAAGTATGAATCAGCGTTTGGGAGCTTTTTCTAACACAGAACCAAACAGAAGAGTTAAGCCTCTTCCAATCTTTCACAAAGAACTGACCTCTAAATCAAGTTAATATAGCTTCAAGTGAAATTCAGTCTTGCCTCTGCACCAGCAAGGGGCACTTGCGTTAGCAATACACAGTATCAAGAGTATAATAAGACCAGCTAAGACATCTCCATATCTTAGTGTTCTGCTATAAACCCTCACGAATCTGAGAAGAGACTACCAAATGATGGTGTGAGCGCAGCCAAGTGATACAGTTTTTGAAAAAATGCCAGCTATTTAGCATAATACAAAAAAAAAGTGTAGAATTCTTTTTGTTGACACATTTGGTTAAAAACATGAGCCAATGTATTTCCCATCCCAGCAGGTCACACCCTAGGAATTGCCAAAGAATAAAAATGTCACCATGTCTAAATCCAGAAAGTACTTTGGAGGTCATTTAGACCAAAGTCTTCTATTTCTTGATGAAACAGAGGTTCGGGCCAGCCCACTCTCAGTCTGGGGCTCTTCCTACTGTTATATTCTGTACACTTGTACTTGAGCAAGACCGGCATGCATTTCTTTGATCAACTCTGTTTGTGATTGCTCAATTCCCCGCTTCACACAGCACGTATTTGGGTAATCTATCACCCAGTCACTACACAGCCTGCCCAGAAGATAATTCCAGCAGCCAGCATTGCATTTCAGAAACCTATTGTCAATCCTGTGTGGTCATTTAACGCTGTGACTTGTGGTTCATATTGATGAGATCACGCAAGAAGCTGGGTCAAATGTGCACAGTGACTCTAGGATTGGCTGGCAACCACATAAATGACTTTAGAAAGGTTGGCCTGCCTCCGTACTGGGTTATCTAATTGTGAACCATTCTCGTCCTCTAAGGGACATGGTAGCTTTTAAAAATTTTGCTTCTTTTCCTCTCTGTCAATGAATATATAAATAGAAATTGTGCAGGTTTATTAGAGGAAGCCAGTTACAACTTTTAGATGGGCATTGCTAGCGCAAATCCATAGCCTTAAAATTAAGGCTGTCATTTTTTGTGGTCTACACAGAGCAGGGAAAGAATATCCTGGCCTACTAGCCCAATGGCTTGCTAATTACGCGTAGACTTTTCAAATGAGAGCTCCCCAAGAGAATATAAATATAGCTTAAGCAGGGTTGCAGTATCTTGTCTAATACCCTTCAACACCGCTATGCTCCATCTGATCGCAAACCACTGCTTCAACCCTGTGGGAAATGAGTATGGCCTTGACTTTGAGATAATCGACCAAATCCTTATAAAAGAACTCTCCCAAGTTTTCAGGAGCTAAAAAACCTAGATCTGTTGGTATATTCAAGCTAGATAAATGGATGCTAATGAATTTTCTAGAATTCCCACATGCAAGACTCTTTTTACCTATACTTCCATAGCTCTATGTACAAACTGCTACTATTGCACTTCTCATACATTGTGATTACATGTCTGTCTCCCCTTCTGTAAAATGATTGCTGGGCAGACAGCAGCTGCTCATAAATGGGAGTTTAAATGAAAGACTACTGGTAAACCTGACTCAGGATTTTATCCCAACCAACCAAACTTTTATCCAGTCTCTGGGTATTACCATTCTTCTGGCTTCAGAACAATGCCTACTCTCCTCTAATTAAGCTTGACAAAACCAGCCACACCCAACGACCTGAAACCCAGGAATGTCCATTGTACTTGGTTGAGCTCTAGTCAGTTTCTGGTCTATTTATATGCTATTATTGTTAGTGCCATACATATCATCTAATGGATTTTACAACCCTCGACAATGTCTGAAACTATAAACAAAAAAATGAGCTCAATAAACGTAAATGACTTAGTCTTCCTCAGCAGCCATTATCATAAATCATGAATGGAACGATCAGAAGCAATTCTGCTAGTTTTCTGCCTAATAGCTTTGGCAGAAGTACAAGGGGCATATGTCTGCTCTTGGCGCAGTAACAGGGGAAAGGCAGTGCCTTCACGACTAACTATACGCTCAAGTCACGTTTGTTGCCAATTCTTTTCCTATTCACAATAATTTTCTGGTGTATGTAATACAACTTATTTTCTAAATTGGGTGAAACAGAAAATTAGTATTAAATCATTTATTAATTTTGGGTTTTATAACCTCATTTTAGAAAATCAAAAATCCTAGCTCAGTTTCCTGCCCCAAGCAAGTGGACTGTTTTAAAAAGATACTTGCACATTTGAGAATTCTTTATGTTTATTCTGAACATTCTAATCTAGATAATACATTATCACAGAAACTCTTCCGGGGGTGCACTGATTTAACTAATCCCCTTCAATGCCAACTAATTAAAAATATTTAGCAATATGTAGCTTCATATGTACAAACATAAGATGTTCTTTTAGAGTATCACATTATAGATGCTTAAAACTCTCAAACTATTTGATAAAGAAAATAAGCATCTCTCACTTTACCCTGTCCCTATGCAGAATTACTGTGGTTTTAAAAGTTTAAATAAATTAGTTAAACATGCTTAATTTTAAAATATGTATATATTCAAGGTCACTGATATACTAGTCAGATTTTTTTTTAAGTTTTAAAACCAATCTTCGTACAGTTGGTTTTATGTACCTTTATAATAAGGTACATAAAATATTTTCATTCCTTTAAACCAAGGAAATTTTAAAAGATATTAACAGTTTTTCAAATGACAGAAGTCCTGGTAATATAGTAGCAGTAAATGGCTCGATCCATTGTGTTCATACAGTAAATTACAATGCAAGAGCTAATCATAAACCTACATTTAGATAATTTACTATTTAAATGCTCCATAAATTTTACATTTTTTCTCTTTAATTTTGCTCGTCTTTACAGATTATTTGCTTTCCTTTTGCAGATAGCCCACACAAAGAAAGATGATTATCTCCTTCCAAACAAATAGAAATGTCTATTTTTGACTAACATTTCTGCCTGTTTTAACCTGTTCTATACACTGAATCTCAGCTACTTTCCCATGTGATCACCTATAAAAGACTTTCAAGTTTCTCTTTTTTAAGAAGGTATAACACGAAGCTGCTTATTTCTCTTTAATGCGGCATAGTCATTCCGCAATTAAGACATACCTAATTACCATGTTTTCAACAGATGCAAATGTAGCTCAATTAAAATTCTAGTCCATGTTACAAATTAAGCTACTCGATTCTGCAAGGTATCATATTAGGACTGGGTCACAAAGAAGTCTGGGAAAGACTGGGCACATATATGTTAATGATCATGGGGAAAATGACTTCAGGTTTCAATTCAAACTCAAAGTTCTACGACTTCCGCCATAAATAAATACTTCTACCAAGTCGCCACAAACATTTTACTCTCAAAAGCTGTCAAAAGTTGACTCTAAGCCATGTAGTCATTGGAGTCTTTTTTTTTCCATTGAGAAGAGATGCTACTGTTGATACTGCAATGATCTCTGTTGGTTGCTTATCCAAAACCTCTCTCTCTCTTTCTTCTTCCTAATGGAGCTCTGATTGTGGTCAGGAATGCAATCTAGCTCCAAGGGGCGAATTCAACGTGAGGTTTACACCAACCTATGGGTACCATGCCCCTGTTGACTTATTAGTTCAGTGTTCTCAGTCCAAGAACGGCCCCATCAGCTTGAATGGATATAGTCCATGGTGAGCTTGGGGAACTGGCTCACTCCCTTCTGTCAGTTATGAACAAGACAGAAAAAGGCCTCTGAGCCCTTGCAGTCACCCTCCGGATAAGCTGAATTGTGGACAGTGCAGCAGAAGGGGCAGAAAGATGCTGGGTCTTTGATAACACTACTAGTCTGTGGAATCAATAATCCGTGAAGCTTCCCCACTCTAGAATGCAGGTATATAAAACAGTGTATTCCTTATGGTTTGAGCTGGTTTGAGTTGGACTTTCCATTAAATGC